ATATATATATATATATGTGTGTGTGTGCGTGTGTGTATACGCTACATTTCAAAAGTTTGAGGCGACCTCTGGTCATTTTTCAAATTGACCCAAAATGTAGTTGTATTGTACTTTGAATAAAAAAAAGATACGTGGTTTAAAAAAAAAGTGAGACATGATTTTTATTAGAAATATTATTGTGACAAAAAGGAAAAAGCATTTCATATGAAACTTTGCTTCCGTCAAAAAATCCTCCTCTAGCCTTGATTACTGCAGTACGAAGTTTTGGAATTCATTGCAAAAGTTGGATAATTGATCCCATACTTTTTTCAATGACTCTAAGAGGTCCTTTTTTTTTTTTTTTTTTTTTTTTTTTTTTCACTTTTCTGTCAAGTTCATCCCATGCTAATTCTGGGGGTGGCTTCAAACTTTTGAACTGTAGTCTGTCTGTCTGTCTATCTATCTATCTATCTATATATATATATATATATATATATATATATGAATATATTTTTATATATATATATATTTATATTTATATATATGTGTGTTTGTGTGTGTATGTGTATATGTGTGTGTGTGTGTGTGTGTGTGTGTGTGTGTGTGTGTGTGTGTGTGTGTGTGTGTGTGCGTCTATATACAGGGTGTAACAGCAAAATTGCCAAAAGTGGCCATTTATTAGATTCAGTTCTGAAACGTTGTATCTTAGAAATAATTAAAGGTATCTTACTGGAATTCTCCGAGGTTCTTATAACACTACTGGGCTCTACTTTGATCAATAAAAATCTATAATTAATCTCCAAGCTTAACAAAAGAATTGTGATGAAATCGATCGTAAACGAAAATGACATGTTCATCATTAATTAATTATAGCTAAGCATCGGAAGCTCATGAAGTACTGAAATAAAATCCATATATATATATATATATATATATATATATAATTCCAGGATCATTTTCCAACTTATTCAAGATGATCTTCGCCCTCTCTAACCTTCTAACCTTTTGTCCTGGAGTAAGAAGTTACTTCACACGTTTCACGTACGATTTCATTTTCAAGTCTTTTTTCACTGCTCCACGGACTCCTCCCTTACGGGCCAAACATCTGATGAATTGAGTTGGATCTTTTCTAATTGATCTCTTTAGCCCTAAGTTGAAATGATGATTCTTTTTCCTGTTGTGACCTCCTGATCCAGTTTTCCTCTCTACTGTTCCCTCTTTTTAAAACTTTAAACCGTTCTCTTGATGTTTCTTGAATGGTCTTAAGATGGAAGCCAGAGGACGAGTGTTGAAGGCCTGAATGATCTTTTTCCTCTCAGCATTGCTCATTTGGGAAGACAGTGGAGCTGACACAAAATGATTTTAACCTGTTCTCTTTCTAGCTGAATAAATCAAAGGGTTTTTCAGTGTCAAGATGGCTAAACGCCATCTCCGAAAACCTGAAAAAAAGAAAGTCAATTATTTTATTTTATTTTTATTTTTTTTATTTATTTTATTTATTTTTTTATTTTTTTATTTTTTTTTTTGACATTGTGTGGGATGGGCAATTATGCGGTTACACGATTTTGAAAATTTTGTTGCTACATCCGGTATATATATATATGTAGGTGTCTGTGCATTTGAGTGCTTTTTTTGCATATATATATATATATTAGTAGTAGTAGTAGTAGTAGTAGTAGCATAATCTAGAAGAAAACCTTAAAATTCATTTCGGTTATAATTTATTTCGTGAATATCTATATATTCATCTCTTCAAACCAAAATCAAGCTCTATCTGGATTAATATCCTCCTTAGAATTATAATTAGCAGTCACAAATTGGTAATATTTGTATATATATATATATATATATATATGTGTGTGTGTGTGTGTGTGTGTGTGAAGACTATTAGACATAGTGGAAAATCAATACGAAAACGTCTGATCACTCTGGCTACCTCAGGTTAGAATGAAAGAAAGACAACGCTATAAATGAGGGAAACTGCGCTGGTATCTATGAGGATAAGTCGGGATTAGAAATCAAATTTAATAACCTTATCAGCACCAATCGCCAGACATAAGAATGTGTCTATATGACTGTTTTGTCTTTCTTTCATTTTAAACTGTGGAATCCAGAGAGTACAGACGCTCTCTGTGAAACGCGTCATTTATAGATTTTACACCTTGTCTTATCCTCTTCACCATTGTTTCGAATACTACTATACATCCTACAAAACACACAATTATATATATATATATTATAATTATTTTCTTTTTAAAAATATGATTCCATCGCGACACAGAAAATATTTTGTGTTCCAAAACTGAAACTAAATTTATAAATTTAACTATTAAAATTAAGCTTAAAATCCATAGTCTCGTTCCATTGTCAAGCGATGATGGGAATTTTAAATCTTACTGTTCTTTCTTATTATTTTAATATATGTCCACACACACACACATGTCCACTTATATATATATATATATATATATATATATATATATATATATATATATATTTCGCCATACGTTTTTTAACATTTCGTGTGAATTTAATTCCACCAGAAATTAAAGCAAATATACGGAGTTTAGAACGGCGCACGATCAAACATAATAGAGATTCATTGTCTGTTATATTTAACAACATATGTCAAAATAATGATCTGCTGCCCCAATACAATACACTATATGTGTGTGTGTGTGTGTGTGTGTGTGTGTGTGTGTGTGTGTGTGTAAAGAATTAATGGATTTATTTTTAATCCGACATTTCCATTACTTTCAATGTGCTTGTACTAGATTCTTCCCATTTGAAAATAGATTCTACCTTCTCATTTATTAAAAACTCTGTATTACGTCTATCGGCATGAGCATTCGAGAAATGAAAAGTATGTGTATGCATGTATGTATGTATTTATGTATGTGTATCTGCGTGTTTATTGTATGTGATGTGTATTGTGTGTGTGTTTTGATTACGCAGACTGCATTATTCCATAAAATGAGTTAAAACGAACTCTCAAATTATACCAGAGTCCATCTCTTCATATCTTCTTGGAGAATTCTTCGAAATTCATCGTTTACATATCAAGTCGCCAAAACCACTACGTAAACGTTTTTGTTTTTTTTGTTTTCTGAATGAATCTGGAATGTTAATTATGCTACAGAGCGTGGTCCATATTAGACATATAGATAGACAGATATTAGAAGGATATATATATATATAATTATTTATTTAAAATTTATAACATAAATATGTTATAAAATCACTGATTTTATAACGTATTTTTGTAGTGATTTTATAAAATGTTTATGTTATAATTTTTAAATAAATAATTATATCTGCTCTGCTCTGCTCTGTATTGAGCACTCTTTTAAGAATAGTAATTGTTGGTTATTGGAATTTATTCGGTATACACCAATCCTATACTTGGATATATATATATATATATATATATATGTGTGTGTGTGTGTGTGTGTGTGTGTGTGTGTGTGTGTGTGTGTGTGTTTGTGTTACAAATGTCTAAACTATCAAATTTATACAACATTTTTCTCAGATCCAGTATAAAAAATGACTTCAAGCGAAGGAATCCTGTGGACCTTTAAGAAGACTATCCTTCATCGAATCTCATAGACTTGCGCTACAGATTCAAAAAGAGTTTTAGTAAATAATGAAACCACATCACTAGGATGCGTTCAAAAGCACTAACAACTAAAATAGATAGTACATGTAACTGGAAAGGAAATTAATATGATCAAGATGTTGACTTTCTGCACCAAATTTACATTTTATTTAACTATTATATTGTGTGGGTAAACAACTGTTCCAAATCAATTAAAACCAATCATTTTTTCCATTTTTTAAAAATTGATTTTCTCTATCTTTCTCGCCATAGACTAAGAACTTCAAATCTAGTAGTGTATGTATTTGCGAAAGTTTCATCTGCTGTAATTTCAACTAATAGTTTAGATTCATTTCAACGAACTAAACTACCTGTAAACGTTAAATTTGTATCTGAATAGTTGCGGACAGAATGCAGTGGACCGATAATATCTTTATGAACGGTTGGAAGCATAGAAAAGATAATTTCGTCTTTCATTTTTGAGATGAGTAATTGTCGATGGGTCAACCATGATTTCAACGATAGTTCAAAATAATACGAATACATAGAAATAATAATACAAGATTTTTAAAGAGAGATATTTTTATTTTTCTTGGCTCTTAGCAAGATATACGCTGTATACGGACTTTCTTTTTTTTCCATACACTTATGTATACTTAGCCGATAGTATCTGGATTTACCTATATAAATAGCTCAATATGAGGATGAAACAATGAATTTAAACCAAATGTTAGGAAGGAAACCCCCCTTCAATATTAGAAAAGGCGATAAAAATGTGAACTTAAGGTTACCTATTTTAAGAAAATGATTTTATAGATTTCAGCCGATAGTAACGCTGATTTGCCAATGACTGCCGAATGTTTCCTTATAAGAAAACGGCTATTATCACCACTACCATATATATATATATATATATATATATATATATATATATATATATATATATATATATATATATATATATATAGGAGAGAGAGAGAGAGAGAGAGAGATAGATAGATAGATGTTTGCAGCGATTTTGCGCTTTTAAAAAAATCTTTCAATCAAAAATGAGTACTTTGTATTATACTAGTCTGTATATGTGTGTGTGTGCGTATGCGCATGCGTGCACTCTCATACGCCTTCAGTTATACGTAGACGCGTTTAAACTTGTTCTCAGTTTTAGAATACGCTGGTTGATTCCTTTTTGTAAATAGTTTACCAACTGTTTGCAGGTTATTTAAAGCCAGCAAATATGTTTTTACTTTAAGAATTATTTTTGGAGATAATAATGGTTTTACTAATTAATCCATAGCTGGGGGAGAGAAGAGTTAGATTCATACCTTTCCCAAGAGTATTTGTGCGTGAGCGAATATAACAAACCCAACTGGAATTGGAACTCGGCTCTCCGATTAACAATTCCGAGCTATTATCCATTACACTATCCACACCATGTATTCGCAAGCGGTCACCCATCTAGATACTGACTAGGCTCGACGTTGCTTCACTTCGATGATCGTACGCGAAGCGCTGTTTCAACACTGTATAGCCGTTTAGCCTTGTAGAATACGCACAAATTTACATGCATATTAGGATATGTAACCTTGGCGAAACGCATACTATGCAGCTAAGGAAAATATATCGAGTACTGCTGATATATATATATATATATAAGGCAATACGTCTCTTCCTATAATTTAATTAATTAATTAATTAATTATAATGATGGTTTGGAATCTGAAGATTCGAGTTTTATATGACAATCTTTTCATTGATAATTTTTCGTTAGAAGGAGAATTCAGCTTATTGACAAGCTCCGAATAAAATGAACATTTCAAATGAAAACGAACAATTTTCAACATCCAATGGCAAAAAAATCTCAATAATTTCCAGTCGAATGCAAAAAGATTAGAGGCAAAAGTAAATAAATAAATGTTATTTTGGATTCTTTCTTTACTTTTTTGCGACAATTAAAATGGCGAGAATACATATATATATATATATATATGTTTTTGACCAAGAGAAAAAAATGGATACTCTAGAAGGGAGAAGGTTAAAAATATTGAAAGGTTTTACCGGAGAGAAAGAGGAGAAGTAAAGAGAGCGGTTACTGGAAAGAGACAGACATTGAGATAGCTTAAAAGAGAAAAAGGCAATAGATAGATAGATAGATAGATAGATAGATAGATAGATAGATAGATAGATACTGTTTATTTTAGGACATTAAGACAAAAACCTGCTAAAAATAGCTACACAATTACAATCATGTTTCAACATTACATATGTGCCTCCATGGGCGATGTTAAATTACTTCGCGCCAGTAGTTTAACATTGCCCGAGGAAATACATTTGTGGTAAAAAACATAATTGTAATTGTGCGAATTTTAAAATGCTTTCAATTTTGATATCTCTATCTATAAAATGCAGGATGTGTGTGCTCGCGTGTGTGTGTGTGTGTGTGTGTGTGTGTGTGTGTGTGTGTGTGTGTGTGTGTGTGTGTGTGTAACAAATGCACGGTCCAAATTTCGAAGGATTTTCAAAATTTGCGAATGCACATGCTCCAAGTTAGCGGCAAGGCCAAGACCGACTTTTGCATTTTTCCAACTCCAATCGAGAGTGGAAATAATCGATTTTTCATGCTTCTACGATAAAAGTTTTCATGTAGTTTGCGGTCATTTTAAAACGACCAGAGTTTGAGAGCCAATAGCTGACTGACACGAATGTTTCCTGAGAGAGCCATGTTAGCATGCAAAAATCGATTTTTTAAAAATCAAAAAATTTAAATCTGCATGGCACTTTACTAAATTGGCTAATAAAATTAAACTCAACGTTGATTCTGATTCCGCAGAACTAAATTTGGGTGTGAAAAAAGTATTTGTTGTTAACATTCATTTTTTCATTATTTTCCAGTTACGAGTCCTAATTTTTTTTAAAGTTGATCGTTTTGTGTTCATTTTGTTTAATTCTTGTTTCGTAACAGATTTAATGTTTAGTATAGAGCTTAGAAAAAAATTCGCAGTGTGAGATAGGCAAGAAGTAAGGCATGTAGCAACATCAGCACGGCAAAAGGCACTCCTTTAAAAGGCAAGGAAGGGCAAAAATATTTTAAGTCAAGTGATAGCGATTGCTGTATGAAGTGAAGATTTTGAATCAAGCACGGGCTCTTGTTGGGCCATGGGGCTAGTCCTAAAATAAATAATGTTTACCAATCTGTACTGAGCCTTTTAAATTAAATGTTTCGTACAGTGGAATTATACTCTATTCGTTCTTATTTTCACACACACACACACAAAATGAATATATATATATATATATATATATATATATATATATATATATATATATATATTGGGATATTGCATAAAAGATACTTGAAAATGTCGATCAGGTAGTCTTTTTTTCGACATTCGGAAAAAAAACAGTTCTAGGAATGATAATCACGTGACCATTTAATTAAACGTTCGACTCCGCCTATACGATCGTTCCGTTCTTGACGATAGTCTATCTCTCCCATCCTCCGACACCACGGCAAAATCTTTCTTTTGCTGACTTGATTGCTTCATTAATTTTCTGGGTTGGACGAAGAAAACGATCCGCGCGGGAAGAAGAGATGAACTGGTCGGGTGGGTCTTTTTCACTATCGGAACAGCAAGCAGAGCAATTCTCAAAGAAAATTCTGCAGCGATATTAAAAGACTTTATTGGATAGTAATTGTTGCCTAGCGACTGATGTTTACCGAAATTTTCTTTTCTTTTTATTTTTTTTTTTTTTTTTTTTTTTTTTTTTTTTGTTAAAGACAAATATACACTGTCATTAACGACATTATCATTAAACTAGTTTTTGTTTGCTTTCTTCATTTATAACTAATGTTTTGTACAGGAGGACTTACAATTGATTCCCTGCTCTCTTCCACTCTCTCCATCCTTATCTCCCTCTCTCACCCATCTTTTTTTTCTCTCCCTCTCTTTCTCGTGCGCGCGCACTCGTCAAGCGTTTTTTTTCAACAACTTTCTCACTTTTTCTATAAGTGTATCAGTGAATCTGTCTGCTTAACTATCAATTTTGTAAATCGCGCTAAGCATCGACATTTTATTCACTCAATTACTTAAAAGTCTATCTTTCTGCGCACATGTCGCAGTTGAGTCCCATGTCTGTTCACATTTATTTTGATACGTCCCTATCTATCTATTTTTTTCAGTCTGTTAATATCTGTTCATCTGTTCCAGTCTTTTAATATTTTTCTGCCTAACTTAGAAATTTCAGTATCTATCTATCTATCTATCTATCTATATATATATATATATATAAATATATATATATATATATATATATATATATATATTTGAGTCTGTTAAAAAAATCTATCTATCTATTTCGGTCTGTTAATATCTACCTATCTATCGATCGATCGATTTCAATCTGTTAATATATATCTATGTTAATATCTATTATCGATCGATCGAGTTCAATCTCTTTATATCTATGTATCTATCTATAAAAATCTATTTTAGTCTGTTAATATCTTTCTATCTATCGATCGAGTTCAATTTGTTAATATCTATCTATGTATTCGTCTTGTTGTTGGTGTGTATTTTATTAGTTTTTCGAATTTTCTCATTTTTTTGGCTTCTTGTCCTTTTATAATAAACTTCTCATTCCCTTTTATTCACTCCTGCATACACTTGTCTTTCTCTCTCTCTCTCTCTCTCTCTCTCTCTCTCCTTCTCCTAAACATACTTTTCTTTTTGAATCTATCTATCTATCTATCTATCTATCTATCTATTGCCTTTTTCTCTTTTAAGCTATCTCAATGTCTGTCTCTTTCCAGTAACCGCTCTCTTTACTTCTCATCTTTCTCTCTGGTAAAACCTTTCAATATTTTTTAACTCTGTCCCTTTTTTTTCTCTTGGTCAAAAACAATATACAGTGTAACCCGGATATAAGAGAGTTGTCGGGACTGGAGAAGAAGTCTCTTATATCCGGGTTTCTCTTATATCCGGGTTTGGTCTATTTTATATACATTATGCTTTAATTTGGGACCAGAGATAATATCTCTTATATCCGGGTTTCTCTTATATTAGGGTCTCTTATTGGTTATTATATATATATATATATATATATATATATATATATATAAATAAAGAAAAAGAACAGTAAGATAGATAATATAGTCCAGTTTATAGATATTTTTTTTTTACAAAATTGTGCTCAATGTAAATTTACAGAGCATTAATATAATAAATTAGTTGATTTAAAATGTTTTTTTTTCGCTACACAGTTCTAACCATTTTTTCAAAATGAAAGCTAACTTTTCAAATTTAATTTTGTAATTAAATTAAAGACATTAGTTCCATTTCATCCTCAAGCGAATTTTGGAGTAACTTATTTTTAAAATTTAATTTAATTACAAAATTAAATTCGAAGCTTTTAGAAAGAATCCAAAATAAGATTTGTTTACTTACGTTAGCCTCTAATTTTTTTGCATTCGACTGGAAATCATTGAAAATTTTTGCCGCTAGATGTCGAAAATTGTTCGTTTTCATTTGAAGGTTCCATTTTATTTGGAGTTAATAAATTGAATGCTCCTTCCAACGAAAAATTATCAATGAAACGATTGTCATATACAGCTCGAAAATTCAGATTCAATCTCATCCTTATAATTAATTAATTAATTAAATTATAGGAAGAGATGTATCCCTTGCCCTTTGTAACCTCTTTCCCCATAGATACAACTTTGCAAGCCTATCGCTGTTGTATCACAATGTGACGTCGTCCCCCCTGGTCGCAGCGTCGACTGTGTCGTTCGATCCCGTTCGCGGCGCCAGCTGTTCGCTCCTCGCTGCTCCAAGTGTGACGTTCTAACCCTTTGGTTAGATGAATACCAGCCTCGTCGTTCCCAACCCGCTTCCAACGCCTGGTTACCAGGGTAACTGCACTGATCTCCGTTCTGCCTACCCACGTTGTGATTAGATCTTAGACAGACGGGATCAAACAGGGATTGGGCCGTATGCAAGCTGAGTCCAACGGGGGTGATAACACACAAGAAAAATAAAAACTCACAAGGTCAAAAATGTTGAAGAAAAAGGTAACAACCTTTTATATCTAACTGCTTGGTACACAAGATTATTCCTACCTCCCGACCCGTTCTGTAGACTGTGGCACCACGCTTCTACCAGGCAACTTTAAGGCTTCGAGTTGCTTGCTCTCTAGAAATTTGCATTTCGGGGTGTGGTTTGGTTTCAACACTGGGCGCTGATCTCTACCTGTCGTTCACGGCTGATCTCTCTCGCCGTCCGTGGCTACAACTAAAAACTCTTCTCTTCAGAGTCTGGATTATTGTTCACTCATCTCCGCCGTAAGTGCGCGAACCAGCTTCTTCTCTTCGGCTTCGGTTGGACGAGCTTATTCACTTCGGCTTGGGTTGGACGAACTTCTCTTCTTAGGCCAAACGGGCTGCTTCACTTCGGCTTTTCTTGCCCGCAAGGGGGCGAATGAACCGGGCCCGCCGCCCGCGCTCAAACTTCATCGCCGTCCGCGCTGCAACTCTCTCTC